TAAAATATATATAATAAAATATGTGCATGCTTAATATCAGTCTTCATCAGGAATACCGTTATACGGTTACATAAAACCTAACAAGGAAGGAGAAAGCACTGTACTCCGCAATAGTATTTTAATAGTAACTCTTATCCCAGTGTCTGTCTTGAGAGCTCAAGGCTATTTTTCTTTAGTCCGCAGTTGCGTTGCTCAGAGGTAAACAGTGCCCTGCAAGGCCGTGCTGCACCGCTCTGCTCCCTCCACTGCTCCCCAGAGCAATCGGTGCTTTTCCTAGGCAGCTCGCAGGGAAGAGCGAGGGTTACCTCTGCACCCAGGGGGGCAATCAGGATGGAGCAGGCTGGAGAACGGGAAACTGAGGGACTCCCAGGAAAAAGACTGTTTGATCGGTTACTGAGATGTGTTTTACTATGCAACTAGAATTCTGCGGCTGAATTAGTGCTTTGGTTAAAAACTGTTGATCCCTTAGTAATGCTGCCATGTTTTAGGCACCTGTTTGTGTTAAGCCACCTCATTGACTTGACAGCATTCATAATGTTACTTCCCCTCTGCTCACAGTCCTAAGCAAAGGCTACTTGCTTACACATCGGAATCTTACAATCCCCAGCCAAAGCTGGCCGTCCTCCCATACAAGCTTTTGGGGTCTGCCGTGCTCCAACAATTCCTGCAAGTTCCCTGGTCATGGCTCCCAGATTACAGCCGTTGTGGTTGCTGACTCCTCCTTGGGGAACTGGGGGTGTCTTGCTGGAGGGCAGATTTCTTTCCTGGCATTCCACCAGATCTACCTCACTGCAGTTTTCTTTCTTCCCCCGTGACTGGACAACTACATGTCCTTTGGGAAGATGACAGCTTCCAAGTCTCGGATGACAACAGATGTGTGCGCCATCTCTCTCGCTCTTTCCCCTTCATTTATTTTACTTTTGGTTTTTTGTCCTCAGCTCTCCTAAATCTGTCCTTTGGAGATTGTTTTGAAGGTTCATTGTAAGCAGGCATCTTTGAGAGTTGTTACTCTGAAGCTAAAGCGCGGTATAGTAACAGCCAAGGACGCTTTGTATGGCAGTATGGGAAGGGATGTTTTAGTGACACAGGTCTAAGATTTATGGAGTCCTTTGTTGCACTTTGCAACAGATTCTTTGTGTGATGTACAGCCAGTTGTGTCAGCTCAGCCCCTTGGAAGTCCATGCTGTGGCTCTATTCAGCTTTGGACTGCCTCAGGTTTCCTGTATACTACGCAAAAAATGCCTGCCTTTGCCCGGCAAGGGTGAAGTGCTTGGGAAAGGAGGAGGCCTCAAGCAGCAAGTGCTCAGCCTGGTGCATCCTCCTGATAAGGCAGGGAAGAGGGAGGAGAACCTTTGAAATGATCAGTAGTGCCTATGTGGAGGAACTGGGCACCTAATTGCAATTAAGGATCCTGCCTCCCTTCAGTCATTAATCCTTTTTATAAACGAGCTTACAAAGTACAGAGAAAAAGAAAATAAAGAAGTGACACCACTGGCTGGGAGAAGACGATCAGAAACCATTGATGAGATGTGGCCACAAACTGCAGTAGCAGCAGCTCTCCTATGACCAGAGAGGTAGAAGTGCTTGTGCTTGCACTAACTGCATGTGCATAAGACTTGGACTACACCACAGTTACATCCAAACAACATTGTATCTGAAAAGCATTTCTTCTTTGCTCCTTATTTACTCAGGAATTCTCACCTCCAGCTTTTGTGCAGGCTCCCAGCAGGTTGACTACATTCAGATGATGTCCTATATGAATGAGGATCTTCAGTTCAGACATTAAAGCCTTGCATTCATTAGTAGTTGCACATTCTGCTTAAGATAAACAGTAAAAAAATCATCTTTAGACAACAGGATATTTTTAACAGGACACAGCAAGATCCTGTTTATATTTGGAAACAAAAACCACCCAGGTTACTTGCAGTATCTTTGCTTTTCAGACTCTTAAACAGATAATAATTCATCCGTTTCATTGTCTGTTGACCTTTATGAAGTGGAATAACACTTTATCTTTCGGGTGACTCTTCCTTTCTCTAGCATGGGTTATGGAGGGTTACTGTCCCATAACAGATCAGCAGATAGCAGATAGCCTTTGCAAGGACTGAATTTTGCAAACTTAGCAAAGGAACAAACAACCACTGCGTGCAACAACAGCACACAGAAGAATGTGTTCTTCCATCTATAATGGTGGTGCGCAGTTTAGTTGTACTTCTTTACAATACCTCGGGATGTATTTTTCCACAGTACTGAGCAACGCTCCACTGCAGGCCATGGAGGAATCCCACCCATCTGTAAGTTGGGTCCCAAAATGTACTGGAGAACATACAGCATTACCAAATCTCAGCCCTGTGAGATCTCATCAACCCAAGAAACAAATTTTCCAGCAAAGCAGAGGGGGCCATATTTGTGTGCGAACCATGAACTTGACACTTGACAAAGCACTGGCTAGCCAGCTACACTGTGGTTTCATTCTCTTTTGCTGCCAAAGCTAAGGAAGGCACTCTCAGACCAGAACGTTGTTCAGATGCTGGCTTGTTTCCTCTGCCTTCTTTCCAAAACTTTCATGATGTATTTTAGCAAAATGGGCTGCTTTTGCCTTTGCATCGTGTAAGATTTAAAGACGAAGAAACAGTTACGTAACAGATCATTTGGTGTGACAAATGTAACCTCTTCATCTGTTTGGAGAATCCTCCATAAACAAATCTTTCACCAAATTGTGTCCTAATGAAGAAGCTATTCCAAGCGCAAGATTTCTTCAGTCAACAGTGTTTGTAGATGGGTGTGTACATGGGTGGCATTACTTCTGATTTACCCTGACATGAGCTGGAACACATGCCTGGCAAAATCTGAACAGAACAGCCTCAGAAGTGTTTCAGAGAGTCTTGCACATTAAGTTTTTGCCTTCAGTCCAGAACTGATACCATCCTACTTCATGGAAATGACAGATAATGCTAGAATTACAGAAATGTAGACATCTCCAGAGCCTCTTTTTTTTTTTTTTTTTTTTTTTTCCTGAATGGATTGATTCACACTAGAGAATCTGCTTTTTCAGGAAAATGATGGATTATGGGCATGTTAGTGGGGTGGGACAGGTTAGAGCAGGAGGCTGCTGCCTCCACGGGGGGAGGAAGGTGTAAAATGATGGAGGAACTGTCAAATAGTGTGCTGAATATGTGCAGGCAGGGTAGAGTTGACATGAGGATCAGTTGGGAAGCGCAGCGTGGAAGTGCGTGAAAACCCAGAGCTATCCAGGGCAGTAAGTTTTGGCCGGAGAAGGGAATGTGTCTGGATCAAGGGCTTCTAGGATATGTCAGGGATCTGGAGATGGGCATGGAACAGAAGAAACAACAGCAGGAGAGAAGATGATCAGCTGACTAATGAAGAGAAGGGAGACCAGATTTGGAGGAGGTCCAGACAGGTGATAAACTGATGTTTTTGAAATTTTGGAGAGATGGGAAGTAGCAGAGCATCAGGAGAGGCAGGTAGCAGCAGAAGCCAAATACCGTGACAGAAGTTCCTGAATCATGGCATTGCAGGGGTTAATACTGTCATGCAGCAGCAGTGCAGAGCAATGTGGGCTATGAAAAGCCATCCAGGGAGCATTGATTGTACCTTTCAAAAATCCTAAGTGAACAGTTAAAAACCTCCAACCCAAGTAGTCAATGTACTGGCTGATGCATTTATTCATAAGCTGTCTGCAAAGGCTTTGTATGTAAATACAATATGAAAGAATATTCTCCGAGTTCCCCCCTTTCCCTCCACTAAATGGTAAAACCTTTCCTTAATTTCAGTAATTGCAGACAAGTTGTCTCTAATTCACTCCCTTGGCATTGCTTTTTTTTCAACCCCTTGAACCGTTCTACATCTGGAAGGGCTGTGATCGAAGGCTTAGATCCAATTTCAGACTATCTAATGTAATTACATTCTGTAATCTGTTTCCCTCCTAACCCCACAGACCTGGAAGCTGCTGTTTCCCTCCTCTAGGAATACAAGACTTAATCAGCAGCACAGCAAGGAGCCCGCTTGTCATTTCCTACACGTTAACATCCACTGTATAATGACTAATTGCTCCCATATGACAAACCCACTCCCTTCTGAACACAATGAACATGGGACTGGTTTGGAGCTGAGAACTGGAAACCTCATTGCCCACAGGTTCCCTGAGGAGTCTTGTGAGAATCTCAGAGGGATATGTACCTTTAAGCATTTTTACGGCAACAGTTTTGCAGGTTGAAGATTTATCAATGCCAAAAGCAGACGCCTCCACCACCTTCCCAAAAGCACCATGACCCAGTGTTTTACCTAGAGAAGCAAGAGTCGAGAATGAGCCAAAGGGGACTTACGACAGTCTGCATCAGATAAGAGGGAACATGCATTCTCAGCTATGCAAGAAATACAAGACTCCAGTGCCCAGGCACAACGTAGACATAGACCGACAGTCAATAGAAGCCTGTATCACATATTTGCAGTATATGGATATAAACATTATGATTTATATCCATATGACTTTAATGCAATACAGTATGTGATAGAGCAGAGTAGAATAAATAAATCTGTATTCAGCTAAAGGCAAGGCTGAATACATATATATGGCTTAAGGGTAAAAACTTTACATATAGTTATCCCGAAGCCCAGGAAAGTCAGAGTTTGGGTTAAACATAGAATTGTGGAACCCTGATCTCTCATGAATCACAGTCATGGAGATAGTCAGCTAAGGCACTCAGACAGTCAGAACCCTTTAATCCTGCAGTTATTGACATTTATTTTACCTAAAAGCTATACTAAATGCAATTTAAGATGATAATATTTCTTTATTTTCCCTTTCATTTAGATTTTCATGCCTGTATTACCTAGTGTGCTCTGAGGGCTCTGACCCACAATGCAGCAGAGTACACTGGGTGTCATGGTCTGGCTTTTTGGTTCTGTTAGTTTGATCTTATGTCCCACCATCATCTAATTTTTTGCTATTTTTGTCTGTCTTCCTCCTCCTTCCATGTTTTCCAGCTTAAGCACCGAGAGTACACACAAATACAGATATATTCCCTA